TTTATTTCTGTAACAGCTCAAGGCTTGCATGCTTAAGGCGTATGGATTTAAATTCTGGACTTAAAATCCACAGTTTTTGTTAGACAACAAAACTTGTTTACTGCAAAAAATATTGCAATATTGTTGGCACTCCTATATTGACAAATAACAACCCTCATACTCTAAGACAAAGTCTTAGAGTAAAAATTATAAATATATTATATTTAAAGGCTTACTATAATTACATGGCCTGGTTTGTTGCATATTTCATAAAAAATTAGGAGGCCAGTTTTTTTACGCCTAACGTTTGAAAGCTTGAGTTCTTATTTTTGCATTGTGAATGTTTTATTCATGTTTTATTAAAATTGGAACAAATGACTCGAATTTTTTTAGTGTACTTACATTATCTTATACTGGATTTTTTGCTAACTGATTATAACTGAGATAAACAAAATTTAAAAAAACTGCAGAATTAAATAATTAATTAACATTTGCATGAGTTTGTTAAAAAAAATTACTGGAAATTAGGAAAAAAAAATTACTGGAAATTAGGAAATATTCTTAAAATTAGGATTTATATTCTAAAATCACATTTATGGTAATAACAGAAGTTGGTAAATGGCGCAAATGGCGGACGCTTTTTTCAAACGGATAAAAACAACTTTTTTAGAGAGGAAAAAAGAAAAGAAAACATTTTCAATTAAGCCAATAATAAAATCAACTAAAAAAAAATATTTTAAAACAGGAAAAAGAAACATCTGAAAGAAAATAAGTAAAGAAGTATAGAAAATAGAAGTTAAGAAAAAAAGTTAATGGTTGAAATAAATAAAAAGAATGGAAAAAAAGGAAAATAAAACTATTTATACATCGAAAAAAGATCAGAAAATGAAGATTTTTTTGATTTTTTTATATATTTCTTTTGTTTTATTTCGTATATTTCTTTAGTTTTCTTTCATATATTTTTAGGATTCTTTATTAATGATTTCATTTTTATTTAAGCGGTCTTGTAGTAATGATTTTTCTTTAGTTTTTTAGCGTATAAAAATTTACTTATTATTTTTTGTTCGTCGTTTATTGTTTTATTTTTTAGTTATTTAATTATTTTTAAATTGTGATTAGCAGTGGTTGTTTTTATGTCATCGTTAGTTGTTATATTTTGTCAGTTAATTACTGTTTGTAACTGTAACTTTGTATGTAAAAGCGATTGTTCTATGGAAAATTTTACTGATTTATTTAAATTATTTTAATTACTATATGACTATTACTATTGCTAAAATAAAATGTTATTATTATTTATTATTATTATTATTATAAAAATTATCTTTATTATTATTACTATTTTAATCGTTATCATTAGGTTTTTACGTGATGTTAGTAGTTTATACTATTTGTAAACAACCTTGAAATGTAAGACCAAATATTTCAGTAATATATATTGATTGATTGATTGATTGCCTGCTTCAGTTTATTCCAGTAAAACAGAATACTGTAATAGGCTTTCAGATAGCTATATATAAAAATGGTAACATAGTAACATTACATGTTGCAAAGACTTTCTACAAATCTTTTGTGGAAATAAAACTAAAGGTTTGTTATTTTGTTTTTATTATAATTGAACAAACGTTAATAAAGAAATAGCTTTTTATTAGGAATTATTATTGGTTCTCTATTTTTTTTAAAATTGTTTCACCTGATCTTTTCTTACTGAGTCAGTTGTTTCTTTTTGCAAATTATTATAAAAGGTATTTATAACGATACCAGATCCATATTTTATTCCCAACTCTTGGTGATAGTCACAAGTAAAATTAAAACTGCTTTAATAAATTAAAGGTTTGTTCTCCAAAGCTTTTAATTGAAAAAAAATAACTGCAATGTTTTATTAAAATAGAAGATATGACATCTAGAATACTAAAAAGGTGACAAATAAAATCAGACAGAAGTTGACTTGGACATATAATTCCACCTCTGGATAATATTTTCAGGTATTCATTATAAAGAATATCTTGGTCTGTAGAAACCATTTTTTGATTACAAGAATGAAATCCAAATCTTTTTTCAACTTTTTTGCAACATACTCTGCTATTGTAACAGCAACTTCCACACTATCTTCAGTAAGCTGACACTCCATAATCTCTGTAGACAACAAAGCAATTTCTTGCACAATATTTCTAAACTAGAATTATCAAATGTCTGATAAATATCTTCTTCCCAGAAATTAATTTCTTTAGAAGTCTATACTTACTAAAACGTAGCTCCAAAGGATCACTTTTTACCCTTAAAGTAAGAACATATGTATAGTCTTCTTCAAGCAAATCGTCGATAAGAGATGCAGTTGCCCATCATGTTGTAATAAGACCGAGAGAAGTTTGTTGGGAAAATGTAAAATAATTACAAAATGTAAAATAATTACAAACCCACATTTTATATAAAAATTGCAAAAATTTGCAATTTTTCTATAAAATGTGGGTTTGTCATCACTCTTCACAGCAGCATTTCCAAGTTGATTGGATGTATTAAATTTCTGCTTTGAATTAAGTGTGATGAATAACTTATGAAACAAGGACAAAAATTGTGCTGCATCATTTCTTTAAGGAAAATAACTCAATATTGCAGCTGTATTTGTTTCATCAAGTATTACTAATGCAAGGTTGACATCTTGTTTGTTATTTCCAGGATGAGTGACCTGATAATTAATTTACCTTGCTTTTTTCAAGTTCTCGTTTAATAACTGATTTTTTTTAAAAAATTTATGAAATAAACTCCATGCTATGTAACCAGTAGAAACTTTAACTTTGTCTTTAAACAAACCAAATAAAAAAGAAGGAAAAGTATATTTTTTTTGCATTTAACAAGTTATTTCTAATAATTTTTATTAAATGAATTATATCGAATAATAAGTATATTTTTAATACTCCATTATAAACTGGATGACATATAAACAACTTTCCATCTCCATAATATGCTTTATGAAACTCTGAAAATGCATTAACATTGATAAAATGATATATATATATACATATATTTTCAACTTAACAACAGCTCTTACTTTAAATCAAGATTGATTTTTAATCATCATTTTTTAACCATGAACCTGTTATAAAAACTTTAGGTGATGATCTCAGAACATAAGAAATAGATGGAACTCTGAAAATGCATTAACATTGGTAGAATGATTAACTGCAATAACAGCTCTTACTTTAACTTATATGACTGTGCTGAAGTGTGAAGTAAAATTAGTCCATAATGTATAACGAATATTAAGGTCTGAATATTAAGGCAGAATATTAAGGTCTGCCTTATGGAGAATAGTACCTTATTTCATTTAATTCTGTCAAAATTGAATTAAAGGACAATGAAACATTTAGACCTTTATTAACTGTTATTGACTCAAACACTCAAACACAGTTGGTATTCCTGAATTTCATCAAAATAAAGTTTATAGTAAACAACAATATCATGAATGTAAATCCTGGTGGGCAATGAATGAAAATCCTGGTGGGCAATGCTGTTCAACCAACAAATTAAGACAAACTATTTTATCAATATTTTGAAAATCACTGAACTTATCTTCTCCCAAGTACCTTAAAGTTGGTTGTTTTCTAGGCACCCTTAAAGTTGATGAACTACTTATTTTATCTGTGTGAACAGGTTTTAACTGTAACCCATTTCATGGTGCATCTTTTTCCATATTTGATAAATTTATCCTCAAAATGATCAACACAAATAGCAGAGTATTTATATGGAACACATTCTTTTCTATTGATAAATGTATCCATTGTTCTCACAAATTGCTTTCTTCAGGAAAATTAAATGTAAATTTTTTTGGACCATTAGAGTAACCAGTTTCACAGTTTGTGACAACATTTTATTAACCATTTTGATAACTAAAAAAAAAAATTCAAAAGTTACAATAATATTAAGCTTTATTATTGAAATTCAATAACATTGCATAAAAAAGCAGTTCGACTGTATACAATATACCAAATAGACTGTGTGTCTATTTCATTATTCTACTCTCTAATGGATTATAATGAAGCAGACAATCAGTCAGAATATAATCAGAAATATATATTACATGAATATGAAAGCTTAAACCAAACTTTCATATAATAGTTGTAATAATCACATTATTTTAATTATTAAATATTGTTAATTCTCGTAATAAAAAAAACTGGCTTCTTAATTTTTTATGGAGATGCAACAAATCAGGCCGTGTAATTAAAGTAGGCCATGCAGGGCCGACGCGGGGGGGAGGGGGTGCCGTTACATTTTGCCGACTAAAAAAAAAGGTCCTCGTTTTCCAAAATTTGCTGACTGCCATGACGACATTTGCTGACGGTCCAGATTACCGACTAACCTATATTTGCCGACTAACTATTCTAAAAGGGTCCAATTTGCCGACTAAAAATCATTGATGGGGGGGGTGTAAACCCCCCCCCCCCACACACACACACACACACACACCTATCGCGCCGGCCTTGAGGCCATGTATATATATATATATATATATATATTGTATGTATATATATATATATATATATATATATATATATATATATATATATATATATATATATATATATATATATATATATATATATATATATATATATATATATATAAATATATATATATATAATTATTATTATCATTATTAATGTATTTAATTCAAACAACATGTACATATAAATAGGCACAAGGTCCACAATAAAAATAAATAAAATAATAGTCAATAAAAAGAACAGATACAGTCATCTATAATTATCCATCATTTGGACAGTCCTAATATTCTGTTAATTAAACTGAAAGTGAGGTTTCTTTTGGCACACTCAACAAGCTGTTTCTTTAAATTGATCCTATAGTTAAATAAAATAGTCACAAAAGTTGGGAGCCTTGACTCTAAAACTATATATATTTATATATATATATATATATATATATATATATATAGAGAGAGAGAGAGAGACAGAGAGAGAGAGACAGAGAGAGAGAGAGAGATTTAGATATATATTATCTTTTAGAACAATCTATTATCGTGATCAATATGGAAAGTTTTAAAACTGTCAAAAAAATTGAAATAAATGCTACATTGTTTGGTTTGGAGAGTTTCAATATGTCATCCATCACCACTATCGGTGATAAGAATGTATGTGTTGTGTTGAAAAGTGTTAATGATGTCATTTTAGTTTATACAGCGGAGAACTACAGTGTTATTCATTACTACAAAATAAATAATATTTATGTTTGTTCTATCTCTGCGAACAAGGATTCGGTATGTCTTGGGTTTGACGATGGTCGTTGTTCTAAGGTTTCTTTAAAAAGTTTTTTGAATGGAAAGATGTTGAAAAAATCTTATCTCTTTGGATCTTCGGAAAAAAAAAAAATTTCGGTGACTACTTCAGTTTTATTATCCGAAACATTTATTTGGTCATCGGGTGATTCATTCAAATATTGCAATTTAAAAAAGTATGAAGATTGCAAGAAAGTTAAATGTGATACTGAACAAGAAGTTAAAGAAATTAGTTTCTCGCTTGATGAAAAACTTTTTTTCGTTTATTATCAATGTAGTCCTGAAATTGATATCTACAACGTAGAAACAAAAAAACTCTTACATTCATTTAGTTGTCAAGACGATATTTTTATGTTTTTACCGAAGGCTTCTGACAATGATATCAGGGTAACGTGCGTGTGTTCAGTTGACGATATGTTATGGGTTGGTACTGGAAGCGGACATATACTTATTTATGAGTTGCATAACATTGAGCATATTTATAAAACTAAACTATTGCAAACACTTCACCCATATGAGATCGAAGTGAGAAAGCTTTTACTTGTTGTCATGACTCAACCACGTCACGACGGCGTAAAATACGTCATCGTAAGTATTGGCAGTAAATTGAACAGTTCCGCATTCGGAATAAATTCGTTTTTTGAATTTAACGGTTATATTCCGAAAGATCAAACAGCAATTGATCAAAAACTTTATACACACTTAGATAACGATGGTAACGATGACGATAACGATCGTAAAGCCGGTAAAGTAGTTATTGTTTGGCATGTTTTGCAGTCACATCAATACAAAAACTTAATTTTTTCTTCATATTAAAAAAGTTTGGTTTACCCAATACTTTGGTATACGTTAATCGTCGCTTGGTGTGACACACACCATAAATATTTTGGTTATGAGATTTAATTTTTAACTTTATCTTTTTAAAATATAATATTTCTTTAAAACATAAAATAAAAAAATTACCACTCGCGATCTAAATTTTAATTTTATTTATGATATATAAACAAATATAATATATAAACAAATTATTATGTTTAAACAAGTATAATATATATTTAATATATAAACAATTTATTTCACCCATTTCTATTATTTTAATTTTTTTTTAATTAATTAAAATGTCTTAAATTTGTTAATAATTTTTTTATAACTTTAACTTAATTTTAAGTTTACGATTGTTATTATTTAACATTTAACATACTAATATATGATTACTAATATATGATTTTACTGTGATATGAAGTGATATGATTCTGTTTGAAGTGCCTAATGTGAAATTTTTAAAGCATTTATAGAAAAAAGTTTTTATAATGTGAAATTTTTAAAGCATTTATACAAAAAAGTTTTTATAATATATTATTGAGTAGGCCGTTTTATTAGAACAAAATTCGTTGTTTTAATATACAAAGATAATTTTTATTTTGATGTTGTTGTTTTTTATGTTGTTTATTAAAATTTGACAGTGAAAGTTTACAAGTTCTTAATTATTTTTTAACAAGTTCCTATGCGTGAACGAAAAAATGTACGCATATTCTTTAATATCAATGTGCAGATTGCTCAGTTACACATTCTAACAATTGGACAAAATTGAGGAAAGTTTGATGTATAAAGACACCTTATTTGATTTGTACAATTCAAGTGCCTTCCTTGGGTATTTTGTTATTTACAGATATGATCAAGGTACATCTATTTTTGTATGATTGCAAACACAGAAGTAAAACATTTTTCAAAAATAAACAAAAAGCTGTTTGTCCACCTTGAAACATTCGTGAAAAGTCTTTTTTCTAAAACAATATTTGATGTAAACAATATTTGATGTTGATGAAGTTTAATATTTACATCAATTGATCTCACGTCTTAGGTATGCCAGTTCCATATTCCAGGCGTACATATTATATTCTTTTATGCCTTGGTTACTTCCTTGTATAATATAAACCTTTTTCCAACTGATTTGAAAATATAAGAGACAAAATTCAATTACCAACATTTTAAGATACGCATTCATTTTAATGTACAAATACCTGTACGCAATAATTTCTTTGACGTTTGAATGCTTTTTTATTAGATTCCGTTTTATTAAAACGGTAACGATTTAGAAGTCAAGACCGATTCATTATAGCTTTTTTTGACTCTTTGTTCATAAAGACTGCTTGGTTTTTTCCCACTTTCCTTATTTTTGTGATGCATGCTTATTTAAATATGCATGCTTATTTAAAATGACTGTTATAGTGTCTTTAAATCCAATAAAATCCAATTTCTGTAAGTTTTTTATAAAATATCAATGATATATTATATATGCCTAGCTTCGATCCTAATTTTTTTACGCTCATCCAAAGATAGTCTTCTTTTTATGTGCCAAATTTCAACTTTATACTATTTTTGTCCAATTAGACCTATCATTCTTTTCGACTAATTTAAAATGATATATTCAAGATATATTTTTAGATGTTTTTTTACAATGAACAGGATTGTCACGTGATCAAGTTCTAGAAGTCTCGGAGCTGAAATTTTTTTCCAAGAACAGTTTTTGTTATAGAATAAGAAATTGACTTTCAAATTTTTGTATATTTTAGCCCATATGAATGATTTCTAATTTAAAAACAGTGTTAACAACATTTTTTTAGAAAAAAATTGGTGAAGAAATTAACAGTATGTGAAAGCCATAGCAGGATTTCTTGAAAAAATATGGTAATATTAATTAATAAAATGTGGTAACATTATATACACCCTCTATATTATACAAGCAAGGTAAAAACCCGGAAAATTCATTAGTGTCATTTTTTTAAATAACCTTGGTTTCACAGTCAAATTTTAAAATGTAGGGACAGTTTTTTATAATCCTGATTTAAGAATAACATAATAATTAAGCATAGTTTCTTTCTCACCTATGTAAACATAGCTTAAAAATTTTTTTCGTAGGCATAAAGTTTACAACAGAAGTGAATTCCTCAGTTTTTAAACAATTGTTATGAAAAAATTTTTTATAACAATTGTTTGTTAAACATAATGTCTGTCTTCAATTAGGGTTCTCAGGTAAAGAAAAAAACTGTACTAATGATAAGATAAAAAAACTGTACTAATGATAAGATAAAAAAACTGTACTAATGATAAGATAAAAAAACTGTACTAATGATAAGATAAAAAAACTGTACTAATGATAAGATAAAAAAACTGTACTAATGATAAGATAAAAAAACTGTACTAATGATAAGATAAAAAAACTGTACTAATGATAAGATAAAAAAACTGTACTAATGATAAGATAAAAAAACTGTACTAATGATAAGATAAAAAAACTGTACTAATGATAAGATAAAAAAACTGTACTAATGATAAGATAAAAAAACTGTACTAATGATAAGATAAAAAAACTGTACTAATGATAAGATAAAAAAACTGTACTAATGATAAGATAAAAAAACTGTACTAATGATAAGATAAAAAAACTGTACTAATGATAAGATAAAAAAACTGTACTAATGATAAGATAAAAAAACTGTACTAATGATAAGATAAAAAAACTGTACTAATGATAAGATAAAAAAACTGTACTAATGATAAGATAAAAAAACTGTACTAATGATAAGATAAAAAAACTGTACTAATGATAAGATAAAAAAACTGTACTAATGATAAGATAAAAAAACTGTACTAATGATAAGATAAAAAAACTGTACTAATGATAAGATAAAAAAACTGTACTAATGATAAGATAAAAAAACTGTACTAATGATAAGATAAAAAAACTGTACTAATGATAAGATAAAAAAACTGTACTAATGATAAGATAAAAAAACTGTACTAATGATAAGATAAAAAAACTGTACTAATGATAAGATAAAAAAACTGTACTAATGATAAGATAAAAAAACTGTACTAATGATAAGATAAAAAAACTGTACTAATGATAAGATAAAAAAACTGTACTAATGATAAGATAAAAAAACTGTACTAATGATAAGATAAAAAAACTGTACTAATGATAAGATAAAAAAACTGTACTAATGATAAGATAAAAAAACTGTACTAATGATAAGATAAAAAAACTGTACTAATGATAAGATAAAAAAACTGTACTAATGATAAGATAAAAAAACTGTACTAATGATAAGATAAAAAAACTGTACTAATGATAAGATAAAAAAACTGTACTAATGATAAGATAAAAAAACTGTACTAATGATAAGATAAAAAAACTGTACTAATGATAAGATAAAAAAACTGTACTAATGATAAGATAAAAAAACTGTACTAATGATAAGATAAAAAAACTGTACTAATGATAAGATAAAAAAACTGTACTAATGATAAGATAAAAAAACTGTACTAATGATAAGATAAAAAAACTGTACTAATGATAAGATAAAAAAACTGTACTAATGATAAGATAAAAAAACTGTACTAATGATAAGATAAAAAAACTGTACTAATGATAAGATAAAAAAACTGTACTAATGATAAGATAAAAAAACTGTACTAATGATAAGATAAAAAAACTGTACTAATGATAAGATAAAAAAACTGTACTAATGATAAGATAAAAAAACTGTACTAATGATAAGATAAAAAAACTGTACTAATGATAAGATAAAAAAACTGTACTAATGATAAGATAAAAAAACTGTACTAATGATAAGATAAAAAAACTGTACTAATGATAAGATAAAAAAACTGTACTAATGATAAGATAAAAAAACTGTACTAATGATAAGATAAAAAAACTGTACTAATGATAAGATAAAAAAACTGTACTAATGATAAGATAAAAAAACTGTACTAATGATAAGATAAAAAAACTGTACTAATGATAAGATAAAAAAACTGTACTAATGATAAGATAAAAAAACTGTACTAATGATAAGATAAAAAAACTGTACTAATGATAAGATAAAAAAACTGTACTAATGATAAGATAAAAAAACTGTACTAATGATAAGATAAAAAAACTGTACTAATGATAAGATAAAAAAACTGTACTAATGATAAGATAAAAAAACTGTACTAATGATAAGATAAAAAAACTGTACTAATGATAAAAAAAACTCAGACTTATAAAAATTCAAAGTTTAGTATAACTTAGAGTTACTTTTTTTTTTCATGCTTTAAATTTTTAAGTTTGTGCTGAAGATGCATTTTTTTTTTTGTTGTTTTTATTTATTCAAAATAAGTTTTACAATATAAGAATGAATAAGATTCATAAAATACATATAGTAAAAGTTACAAACTTTGTTAGCGTTAAAATAAGAAGAACGCGGATACTCGCAGAAGATCATAAGATCTTGTCATCGAGAACCGCCTTAACAGATTTTAAATAAAAAATAATCCTCTAATAATTCATATATAAATATTCACACTTAAATAAAAATATAACTTTTTACACATTTAATTCTATAAAAACATACAAATATATATACTTATATATATATATATATATATATATATATATATATATATATATATATATATATATATATATATATATATATATATATATATATATATATAAGTTAAGAAAAAAGATTTCATATATATAAATTACGATAAAAAGATTTCTTAAGAGTATTAATGTAAAACAAAACAAATTAAAAATATATAAGAATGTTTTCAATTGAGAAAAGAATTTTTTTCAACTTTCATTTAAATAAGAGAAAGCTCCTTTCTTGAGAAAAATCAAAAAGTTTTAATACTACTTTGTTCCATAAAAATGCTCCTCTAAATGAAATGCAAAACTTACCAAAATTAGTTTTAAAAACTGGTTGAAGAATAAAATTTTCATTACGCAAATTGTTTTTATTTTTAACTTTTAAAGGATATAAATTGTGAAAAAAAATTAGAGAAGTGCGTGTTTTACACTTAAATATAAAACACAATACATAAGAATATTAAGTTACAATACAATACAATAGTTAATACAATACAATAAGAATATTAAGTTGATATATATTAAGAGTATTCATTTCGTTTAAAAGAAGCTTAGCATGATAAAAACGATT